AGATTAAGTACTGGTTTAGGGGCAGAAAAAAAGTGACTTTTCTTTTAAACATAATTTAATGTGTCAAAAAGAGCATCAAGGAACCCTGGCTAGTTTGGCTCAGCAGTTAGAGCGCTGACCTGCGGTCCTGAGAGACCCGGTTCGGTTCCCGCTAAGGGCACAGACCTCCGTTGCAGTTTGTCCCCGGCCCGGTTGGGGTCATGTGAGTGGCAACCACTGGATGTGTCTCTCTTCCTCCCCTTCTATCTGAAGGTAAAATGCAAAAATGTCCTCGAGTGAGGTGAGGATAAAAGAAAAAAGTATCAAGGAGCCATTGCAGGAGAACCTAACTGTCGGACCCTTGCTGTTTGGTGGCCTTCCCTTTGAATGAGGTCAGAGGGCGGGGAGCAGAGTTGGAAGACATTGGTTGAGGGTTTCTGAGTGTGAAGCGGAACGCTGGGACCAAACCTCCCGGCCATCGAGCGGGTGGGTCCGATCCCTTCCCGCAGACGAGGAGGGTCGTGGTCCAGCCTGCGGCCTGGTGTGGAGCATGGCCCAAGGCCGCGGGCGTGCACCTTCCCGCCGCGATCGGGCTCCTGCGGGCGACTCCACTCTGGGCGCGCGGAGGGGTGAGGTTCAGCACCCAGGCAGAAAGCCGTTGCCTCGCGGGACAGTCACCCCTCCGCAATGCTGCGAGTGGGCGAGTCCGTATCCGTGGAGCAACCGCCGCGGCTTCCGGTTCCGATGACAGCGGCGCCGGAAGCGAGGTCCTGGACTGCAAGACCAGGTGAGAGCTGCGGACTTCCGGGCTAGGAGATGTGGGCAAAGGGCTTGGCGCGGCGGCACGGCGGCACGGCGGAGGGGCACGGTGGGCCGCAGCTCGGCCTGGCTCCCAGGCCTCTGCCCTTCCTGGAAGTTCCTCGACTAAGCCTCCCCACCAGTCCGCCCTTGGACTTATTTGCTCCGTAGTTGTGGGCCCGGGGCGGAGAACGAGAGTCCAGCAAACTCATAGGACACCCGAGGAACCGCCTCTGCCAGGGGAATATCTAGATCTCAGACGTCCCGTCATAGTGTGACCTGGCTGGGACCCAGTGCGGACGAGGAGGCCAGGCAGGGCAGTCGAGCAGGGTTTTCTGGAGGATGAGTAGGAATTTGCCAGTAATTTGCATTAGTGCAGGTGAAACTCGCAGTAGGGGCTAAATTCCAGGGGAAATCGTGGGCCTTTTCTTCCCTTCCGTTTTTGTTAATGACAAAAGAAAGATAGAAACTTCAATTAGAGATCGGTAAAGAAGAAAAGGAATAGGGTGGTATGATAGAGTGACTGATGTGGGGGTAGGGCAGAGGGGTCGTCATTGGATGCTGTGGTCTAGGAGATTATCTCTGAAGAGATGACGTTTGCATTGAGACCCTATTAAGGAGCCAACCATGGAAAAGATCTGGGACAGTGGCTCTCAACCTTACTAATGCCGCGACCCTTTAATACAATTCCTCATGTTGTGGTGACCCCTCAACCATAAAATTATTTTTGTTGCTACTTCATAACTGTAATTTTGCTACTGTTATGAATCGCCATCAGAAATATGTGTTTTCCTATGGTCTTAGGCGACCCCTGTGAAAGGGTCTTTCGATCCCAAAGAGGTCATGACCCACAGGTTGAGAACTGCTGATCTGGGAGGAGTGTTGCAGGCAGAGGGACCAGCCAGTGCAAAGGCCCTGAGGCAGAAATAAATGTAGTCAAGGAACAGAAGGCTAATGTGGTTGGAGTATGGTGAGGGGGAGGAGAGTGGTAGGAAATTAGGTTAGAGAGGTGGTTGGGAGTCTTGTAGGCCATAAAAAGGAGGGTGGATTTTATTGTAAGTACAGTAGGAATCTATTGGGTTTTCATCAGAGGAGTGGTGGGTGTGTAGGGTGAGGTATGGATAGAGGTGAGGGGGTATACAAGTCTGAGTTGGGTCAATGGAAGCTATCCAATTCTGTCAGGCAAAGGTGACCTTTCTATGATTTGCATAAAATTTCTTTCTTCCTCCTTACCCCAGAAGGGGTTCTCTTCTTTCAGGATGCTGAAGACTGGGGACAAAACCTCATGCATGCCTTGGGGGATTTTAATATTTCACTCATGTGTCTTCCTGCCCACCCCCACAACTTTGACTTGGGAACTCAAGCCCTAAAGTTTAGCAACTGGAAGCACCATTTAAGCAGCAAATACTGACTGAACACCCACTGTGCACCAGGCCCTGGGCTGGGCATGAGGGGAGAGAGAGAGGGAACTGAAAGGAGAGAGAAAGCTACAGAGACTGGTCTCCAGGCCTGACCATCTCACAGTTAAAGGGGGAAATACATGTGAACAGGCATTTACTGTGCTACAGTGCTGAGGACTCAGATGTGTGTGGTATAGAGGTCCTCCACAGAGGTTTGTGAAGCAGAGAAGGAGGCAGGGAGATTTCATTGAGGGCTTTGTGGGGACTTGATAATTAGGCTGCAGCTTGTATTCTCCATGCAGACAAGTGCAGAGGGCATGCCGGACATAGGATTAGCTTGTGCAAAGGAAGCAAATGTACAATGACAAAGGGCTTGTATGTCAAGCTGTGGCATTATTGAGTAAAGGGGTGACAGGATATGATATGTTGCTTTGAAGGGATCATCCTGGTACATGTGAGACCCTGGGGAGGAAGACTTGGGACAATGGACATGAGATTCCATTGGATTAATCACGAAGTTTATCAAAGACAGATACACTCATTTATTCTTCCTCTTAGTGAAGATGACCAACTGTAATTCTGTCAGAGTGGCTCACCCTGGACAGGCTGAAATAGCCTCCTGAGCTTTTCAGATGAAGTACTTGCAAGCAGTCTCGTTTTCCCAGCTCATTTATTTATTTTTAAAATTTGTATTGAGTTTTCTCCATTCATTGTACATTTAATTGGCCCATGCAGGGCCTTTTTCTCCTTTATATTGATTTATGTATTCCCTTTTATCCTCATTCCTCCTTCTCTCCCCACCGTAGGAAACCACTCTGATGTGTTTTGTATATATCCCTTTACTTACATGTATCCTTGGTTGTATGCGAATATTGTTTAATTTACATAAATGGTATTCTGCCTGGGGTTCATTTTGTTTCTTTTTCCCCCCTCAGTACCACAGCTTGGGATCTTATTGATGTTGCTGTGAGTATGTCTGGAGTATGGTTTATAAATGCTATCTATGTTTTCATAGATGCATCCCCCACATTTTACTTCCTTGACTTATCAGTTCCCCCATTGGTGAGGCCCCTAGACTGTCTCCCACTACCAGCCACAACACAGAGTGCTGGGATGAAAATCCTTGTACCTGTCTCCTTCCTCAGGTTTTGTTTTTGTTTTTAGATATTTTATTGGTTTTTTAGAGAGAAAGGATTGAAGAGAGAGAGATATTAATGTGGGAGCGGAACATCGATCAACTGCCTTCTGCATACCCCCCACCAGGGATTGAGCCCCCCAACCTGGGCATGTGCCCTGACTGGGAATCGAACAGGCAGCCCTTCAGTGCATTGCACTACACCCAACTAACTGAGCCACACCAGACGGGCCTCCTTCCTCAGCTTTTTAAAACAATTTCAAGATTCTGACTTGAGCTTCTCTTTCATAATCCTAGTATCAGTTGGTGTCTGACAGGGCCAGACTGTTTGACCTTGGTGAGGTCCTGATCGTTCTTGAACTGTGTTTGTTTTTGGTAAATTGCGATTCTGGTTTCCAGACATTTTGGCAAACATTCTTTTTTTTTTTTTTTTAATCCTCACCTGAGGATATTTTTCCATTGATTTTATTTTTTGAAATAAAGTGGGAGGAAGGGTGGGAGAGAGGAAGGAATCATCAATGTGTCGGGAATCAAACCTGCAACCCAGGTACGTGCCCTTGACCAGGAATCAAACCTTTACCTCTTTGGTCAGCAAACCGATGCTCTAACGGCTGAGTCAAACCGGCCAGAGCAGCAAACATTCTTTTGTGCTGCCATTTTTCCTAGTTGATCATCTCACAGTGTCTGTGGTTAATTTCCTGCTGCTTGTCATCATTAATTGTTACTGTGCACTCATTCCATCCACAAATATTGGCTGTTTCCCTTTTCTATTGAGATGGTGATCTGTTAAGCTGGTCTCAAGAGTGCAGTGATGCAAAGTGCTTCAGAGACGGGCTCTGAGCTGTGGAGCCAGACTGCCTAGCTTCAGTTCTCAGGTCTTCCGCTACCCATTTGGGTGACCTGAGGCAACTTATTTAATCTTTCTGTCTCATTTTCTCATCTGTAAAGTAGGTCTAATAATTGTACCTACCTCATAGCATTTTTGTAATAATTAATTAGTTAATGCATACAAAGTTGTTAGAATAGAGCCTGGTACATAATAAGCTTCTATGAAATGTTAACTATTTTTTTGTTTGTTTATTTGTGTTATTTTTTTGAATCCTTACCCGAGGACATTTTTTTTGCATTTATCTTCAGATAGAGTGGTAGGGGAAGAGAGAGAGAGAAACATCAATGTGAGAGAGACACATTGAGTGGCTGCCACACACACGACCTCAACCAGGGCAAGGACAAACTGCAACCGAGGTATGTGCCCTTAGTGGGAACTGAACCCAGGACTCTCTGGTCTGCGGGCCAATGCTCTAACTGTTGAGCCAAACCAGCCAGGGCCAGATATACCTCATTTTATTGTACTTTACTTTATTGTGCTTCCAAATGTTGCATTTTCATCAACATTGAGGCAAAACCTTCCACCAGCAAAAAGATTACAACTCAATGAAGGCTCAGATGTTGGTTAGCATTTTTTAGCAATAAAGTATTTTTAATTAAGAAATGTACACCACAAAACTTATATGCATGTATGCATGAACAATGGACATGGACAACAAAGCTGGGGATAGGGCGGGGAGAGGGAAGGGGGGAATCAGTGGGGGAAAAAGGAGAAACATCTGCAACAAAAATAAATAAATTAATTAAAAAAGAAATATACCTTTTTTAGAGGTAATGTTATTGCATACTTAACAGACTTCAGTGTAGTATAAACAACTTTTATTTGCACTAGGAATCCAAAAAATTCACGTGACTTGCTTTATTGCGATATTAACTTTGTTATGGTGATCTGGAACAACCTGCAATATCTCTGAGGCATGCCTGTATTTGCTCAGGAGGCATGAAGAGGGGGCATGTCTTCTGGACACCATGATTACAAACTAGTGTGCAGCATCAACCATAAGGAGAGACGACAAACACATCGCAAGGCTCTGGGTGCCATTTTCCTGTTAACTTGTCCTCCGGCTGCACTGAGATGGTGAGGCCAGGATTGATGGTGCTGGTGGGAATGGGCGGAGAGTGATGAAACTGGAGAATCCTGATGGTCACCTTGGGCACAGGATTCTCCTTGTGATGTTACTCTGTACTGTTCTTTGAGAGAATGGACAACTGGCTAGATTTGAACATTTGAGAGACCTTTCATTTCTAGTCCCCTGGATGGAAGACTACGGAGGGAACCCTGTTACCAAGAATTTGAGGATTATCTATGTGTTCAGTGTCAAAGGCTGCTCTCAAATGGAGGGGAGCAGTGGCTCAGAGTGGAACAGACTTAGGAAGAGGACCTCAGTGGTAGGAAAAGTGGGACAAGAAATGTCAGCATTCTTCAATGGTATAATGAAGAGGGAAGGTTGTGTTATAAGAGAAGCTCTAGTGTGCGGGCGCGCAGCCCTCAGATATCATTACCCAGTGATCAGGACTGAAATAGGAGGGGTGAATAGAGTCCTCATCAAGTGAGAGCCACATGACATGTGGGTGAAGCTTTCCTGGTATGGATTGAATAGCAAAACATCATGGGCCATTCGAGTCACACCAGACACTGGGTGGGTACAAGACCTGTTGATCTCCCACTGATGATAGTGTAGACATGAAGTGAAAGTTTTGTTTCACCAAACATCTCATGTTTGATGAGACACAGCTTCTGTTTGGGGAGATGACAAAGTTCTGGGGATAGATAGTGGTGATAGTTGTATGCTTTGTGAATGTACTCAGTGACACTTAAAAATAGTTAAAAGTGTAAGCTTTATGTATATTTTACCACAATTAAAAAAATCACACTTAAAAAAAAAACAAAGAGGAGGAGGCCAGGTGGGAGCAAGGGAGGTAACCTCTCAGCCTTGGGAAGGATGAGTCACCTTCTCAAACAGTTAAGGAGATGATGGGAATGAAGGGCATCCCACAGGGAGTAAACAACATAAACCAGGGCTCAGAGCTGTGATGAAGTAAGGGTTCTGGTTACCTGTCTATGGGTGAGCAGCAGGGGAGACTGAGGCTGGGGTGGTGAGCAAGTCCCGTTGGGCCAACATGGTTGACAGTTGTTCCTTAGGCTGTGTTTCCAAATACCAGCCTTTCAAGGACTGTCTTCATGGCTTCTATCACTATAGTACATAAAAAACCAAGTCCACTAACTGAATAGAATGCAGCCATAATGAATATATGAAAATACATGAGCCCAGCCGGTGTGGCTCTGGTTGAGCATCGACCCATGCCCCAAGAGGTCGCCGGTTCGATTCCCAGTCAGGGCACGTCCCCAGGTTATGGGCCTGGTCCCCAGTAGGGGACGTGCGGGAGGCAGGAGGTGGCCAATCGATGTTCTCTCTCATTGAAATTTCCCTCTTTCTCTCCCTCTCCCTTCTTCTCTCTCTAAAATCAATAAAGGAAAAAAAAAAAAAAGGTGAGCAAGGACTGTAGAGTGAAAAGAGTTGAAAACAGAGTTTTCTCACCATGATTCAAAAAACCCCTGTCCTCACGCCTGCCTTCATCTACTGCTGGAGCACTCTGGCGAGGGGTGATGGAGCTGTGGACAGATATTAAGCTGGGCATTTCTCAGCATTGATATATGATAGGGGTATGGTAAGGGGAATCTGGGAGCCCTCCTCACTGTGTCCCCCAGGTGAGTCCTTGCCCTCGGGAAGAAGCCATCATGGAGCAGTGTGCAAGCGTGGAGAGAGAAGTGGACAAGGTCCTACAGAAGTTCCAGACCTATGGGCAGCACTGCGAGCAGAGCCTGGAGGAGCTGCTGCACTACGTGGGCCAGCTGCGGGTTGAGCTGGCCAGTGCAGGTGGGTATTCCCCCCAAACCCCTGGAAGCTCCATTCCTGCCTCCCTGTGGGCCTAGGAGACCCCGAGGCTACTTGGTGATAGGGTGTCTCCTTCTGCTCTATCATTATATTTATTACTTGGCATTCAAGTGTAAGGAAGAAACTTTCCCTTCTCTCTCTCTCTCTTTTTTTTTTTATCCTCACCCGAGGACATTTTTCCATTTTTTGTTCAGATAGAGCTGGAGGGAGAGAGAGGAAGAGAGAGAGAGAGAAACATCGATGTGAAGAGACACATCGAGTGGCTGCCACCCGCATGACCAACCAGGGCCAGGGACAAACTGCAATCGAAGTACGTGCCCTTAGCGGGAACCGAACCTGGGTCTCTCTGTACCGCAGGCCGACGCTCCAACCGCTGAGCCAAACTGGCCAGGGCTCTCTTATTTATATATATATTTATTATTAATACTCACTCAGAACTCTTATTTTATTCAATGGGTTATAATCTGTTACTGTTATTTTTATTGTTAATCCTCACTGAGGATATTTTTCCATTGATATTTATTTATTTATTTATTTTTTATCCTCACCTGAGGACATTTTTCCACTTTTTGTTCAGATAGAGTGGGAGGGGGAGAGAGAGAAACATTGATGTGAGAGAGACACATCGAGTGGTTGCCACTCACACAACCCAACCAGGGCTGGGGACAAACTGCAACTGAGGTACATGCCCTAACCACTGGGATTTATTTATGTATGTATGTATGTTCTTATTGATTTTTTAGAGAGAGAGGAAGGGAGAGAGAGATAGAAACATTGATGTGAGAGAAACATTGATTGACTGCCTCCTGCATGTCCCCTCCTGGCAATTGAGCCCGCAACCTGGGCATGTGCCCTGACCGGGAAACGAACTGGGACCTTTCAACCCATGGGGTGATGCTCAATCCTCTGAGCCACAGCTGCTGGGTCCATTGATTTTTAGATAGATAGATAGAGAAAGAGAGAGAATTATCGATGTGAGAGAGACCCATCAATTGATTGCTTCCCGTAGGACCCTGAGTGGGGCCAGGGATCAATCCTGCAACCCAGGTATATGTCCTTGACCAGAAATCAAACCTGTGACCCTTCAGGGTCAACGCTCTAATTCCTGAGCCATACCGGCCAGGCCTGTTGTTATACATTTTGATGCTCAGATTGTGTTAGATTTTTTACAAATTTTTTATTTATTAATTTGTTTTTGTTACAGATGTTTCTCATTTTTCCCCCATTGATACCCTCCTCCCCTTCCTCCTTACCCCATCCTCAGCTTTGTTGTCTGTGTTCATTGGTCATGCATACATGCATGTAAGTTCTGTGGTTTATCTCTTCCCCCACAAACGCCCCCTACTCTGAGGTTTGTCAGCCTGTACCCCACCTCCATGTCTCTGTGTTAATTTTGTTCAGCAGTTTGTTTAGTTCATTATATTCCACAAATAAGTGAGATCACGTGATATTTGTCTTTCTCTGCTTGGCTTGTTTCGCTTAGCATAATACTCTCCAGATTCTTCCATGCCATCTCAAAGGATAAGAAATCTTTTTTTTCCTTACAGCTGCATAGTATTCCATTGTGTACATGTACCACAGCTTTTTAATCCACTCATCTACTGATGGACACTTGGGTTGTTTCCACATCTTAGCTATTGTAAATAGTGCTGCTATGAACGTAGGGGTACATATATTCTTTCTGATTGGTGTTTCAGGTTTCTTAGGGTATATTCCTAAGAGTGGGATCACTGGGTCAAATGAGATTGTGTTAGATTTGATCAGAGGTAGCCCCTAGTTCCTGTATCCTTTTTTTAAAAATCGAGCTATATCGCTCTGGCCGGTTTGGCTCAGCGGTTAGAGCGTCGGCCTGCGGTCCTGAGAGACCCGGGTTCGGTTCCCACTAAGGGCATGTACCTTGGTTGCAGTTTGTCCCCGGCCCTGGTCGGTCGTGCGGGTGGCAGCCACTCGATGTGTTCCTTTCACATCGATGTTTCTCTCTCTCTCTCTGTTCCTCTCTCTCCCTCCCACTCTACCTGAACAAAAAAAATAAAAAAATTAAAAAATATATAAAAATAAAATAAAAATCGAGCTATATCACAATAAAAAAATGCCTTCTTAAAATGTACAATTCAGTGGTTTTTAGTGTATTTAGAAAATTGTATAATTATATAATCAATCACCATATAATTTCAGAACATTTTTATCACCCCAAAAAGAGACAATAACTCCTCCATTCCTCCTTCTCCCCTAGCCCCTGGCAACCACTAATCTACTTTTCATGGACTTACCTATTCTGGACACATCATATAAATGGAATCATACAATATGTGGCATTTTGTATTCTTTCACTTAATATTTTCTTTTCTTTTTTCTTTTTTGGTACGTACCCCTAACAGGAACCGAACCCGGGACTCTCTGGTCTGCAAGCTGAAGCTCCAACCGCTGAGCCAAACTAGCCAGGGCTCACTTAATATTTTCAAGGTTATCCCTATTGTAGCATGAATCACGGCTTCAGTTTTCTTTCCTGTGCTAGGTCATATGGTAACTCTGTTAAACTTTTTTTCTTTTTATTTATCCTCACCTGAGGACATTTTTTGCATTTATGTTCAGATAGAGCGGGAGGGAGAGAGGGAGGAAGAGAGAGAGAGAAACATTGATGTGAGAGAGACACATCAAGTGGCTGCCACCCACATGACCACAACCGGGGCCGAGGACAAACTGCAACCAAAGTTTGTACCCTTAGTAGGAACCAAACCCGGGCCTCTCTGGTCTGTGGGCCGACGCTCTAACCGCTGAGCAAAACTGGCTAGGACAAAACTTTTTTCTTAAAAAAATGAATTATAAATACTTTTTCTATTTATCAAAGTTCATTAAAGAACTCCCCAAATTATTAAATCATCCTCATTCTCAGGAATTATTCATTCACAGAGCAGACCATCATTTCATACTTAAATCCCAGGGCTCTCATGCACTCCTTGTGGGCCTCAATTAGATGTCCACAGTGCTCTTCTCCTTTCTCAAGTGGCTGCCACCCACATGACCGCAACCAGGGCCGGGGACAAACTGCAACCGAGGTACATGCCCTTAGTGGGAGCTGAACCGGGTCTCTCCAGACTGCAGGCCAATGCTCTAACCGCTGAGCCAAACCGGCCAGGGCCATGCCCAGCATCCTGCAGCCTAAAAGCAGCAACTAGTACAGCCACTCTCCGCTCTCCCAGCCTTGAAAACCTCTGCTTAACTTTTTGAGGAACTAGCAAACTATTTCCCAAATGTAGCTGCAACATTTTAATTTTTTTTTTTTTTTTTATCCTCACCCGAGGACATTTTTCCATTTTTTGTTCAGGTAGAGTGGGAGGGAGAGAGAAAGAGAGAAACATCGACGTGAAAGGGACACATCGAGTGGCTGCCACCCGCACTACCAACCAGGGCCGGGGACAAACTGCAACCGAGGTATGTGCCCTTAGCAGGAACCGAACCCGGGTCTCTCTGGACCGCAGGCCGACGCTCTAACCGCTGAGCCAAACTGGCCAGGGCAACATTTTAATTTTGTAAAAAATCCTCATTTGAGGATATGTTTTTATTGATTTTAGAGGGAGAGGAAGGGGAAGAGAGAGAGAGAAGCACTGGGGATCGAACCTGAAACCTAGGTATGTGCCCTGACTGGGAATGGAACCCACAACCCTTGGGTGCAAAGGATGACGCTCCAACCACAGAGCCACCTGACCAGGGCAGCTACACCATTTTACATTTCTGCCAGCAATGTCTGAAGGTTCTAGTTTCTTCACACCTTCACCAATTTTTGTCTTTTTTTTTATAGCCATCCTAGCAGGTAGGAGATCATATCTTATTGTAGTTTAGCTTTGCATTTTTCTAATGACTAATGACATAGAGCATCTTTTCATATGTTTGTGGGCCATTTATATATCTTTGTTGGAGAAATGTCTATTTAAATCGTTTGCCCAGTGATGGCCGGTATGGCTCAATGGTTAGAGTGTTGGCCTGCACACCAAAGGGTCATGGATTTGATTCCTGATCAAGGGTATGTACCTGGGTTGCAGTTCCTGGATTCCAGGTTTAATCCCCAACCCCGGTTGGGCGCATGCTAGAGGCAACTGACCAGTGTGTCTCTCACATCTATGTTTCTCTGTCTCTCTCTCTTCTCTCCTTCCCTCCCTGCCTCCCTCCCTTCACTCTCTAAAAATGAATGGAAAAAAATATCCTCTAGTGAGGATTAACAAAAAATAATAGTAATAGCCCTGGCAGGATTGGCTCAGTGGTTAAAGTGTCAGCCCATGGACCGAAGGGTTGGGAGTTCAATTACAAATCAAGGGCATATACCTGGGTTGCAGGTTTGATCCCCGCTTTTTTTTTTTTTTCAGCACTCCCTTATTTTTTGGCACAATAAGGTATTTCCTGAAATCAGTAATCTTTGCAAGTAGCCATGGTTCTTTTGGTGGGAAATGGTATTTGGAAACAATGATCTAGGTTGTCATTGGGGTATCAGTGTTTTTAGGTTCTTTTAGCAAATGGACCTTCCTCCTTCCCTTTCTCCCTTCTTCCTGTCCATTCTTCCATCTTAGTATATTGCAAACAATGCATTTATAATGATGCCTCCAATTCCAATCCAGTATCACAAGATTCTTTCCAGACTTCCCCATCTATAGCTGTATTTTCTTCTCCAACAGTGAGAAGCCTGAATGCCAATACATTTCTCATCTGCTCAATTTCTACAATACATAGAAAGTATTTTCAGAATTGCTATACCTAGTACTACTGAGAAAAACAAATCTACAAAATAGAGCCTGCTTCCTTTTTATTTTTATTTCTTAAAGAATGCATGCATGTGGAAAGGTCAAAAAGGCTGAGAGTGAAAAGTGAGTCTCCCTTTTACCCCTGATTCCAAGTTTCTGTGTGACTCTCCCCCAAAGTCACCCCATTTTGTTTCTCAGGTGCCCTTATAGCAGCAGCTGTGTGCACATGTAGATGTCATGTAGAAGTGTTTATTCCCCCTCCTTTTTTTCTACACACAGGGACCATAGAGCACATACTTCCCTGCAGCTTGCTCTTTCCCTACACAGTCTGTCTTAAGTGTTCTGTATCAGTAAATAGAATTCTGTCTCATTCTCTTATCATTATGTGGTTTGCCATGCTTATTTTCTTTTTAAAGTTCTTTTTTTTTATCTTCACCCAAGGACATTTTTGCATTTATCTTCAGATAGAGAGGAGGGAGAGAGGGAGGAAGAGAGAAAGAAACATCAACGTGAGAGAGACACATCGAGTGGTTGCCACCTGCACGACCCCAACCAGGGCTGAGGACAGACTGCAACCGAGGTACGTGCCCTTAGTGGAACTGAACCCAGGACTCTGGTCCGCGGGCTGATGCTCTAACCGCTGAGCCAAATTGGCCATGCTTTTTAAAAATTGAATTCAGAGACAAGAAGGGAATGAAAGAGAGATTGGTTACCTCCTGCATGCGCCCTGACTGGGGATCGAAACTGCCACGTGGGTATGTGCCTTAACTGGGAATCGAACCTGCCACCTTTTGGTGCACAGGATTATGTTCCAGCCAGCTGAGTCACACCAGCCATGCTTTTTTTTTTCTTTATTGATTTTAGAGAGAGTAACATCGATGAAAGAGAACATCGATTGGCCGCCTCCTGCATGCCCGCCACTGGAGATTTGGCCCACAACTCAGGCATGTGCCCTAACTGGGAATCGAACTAGTGACCTCTTGGTGCATGGGTCAATGCTCAACCACTGAGCCACACCAGCCAGGGCCCCGCCATGCTTTTGATGGCATCTGTTAACTATGTGGAAGAAACGCTTTTCTCTTGCTGGTCTGAAACTCATTTATACTGTCTGTGCTCTTGGTTAACAGGTGGCTATGGTTGCAGTGTGTTCACAGGGAGAGGGTGTCTTCCCAGAAGGGGATTTGTCAGGGCTAACAGTTGTCGGTGGGGTCCTTTATGGTGGAGATTGGGGGATTCCAGGTTAAAAACGCTTTGATTTTCTAAGAGTGTTGCTCTGCCCAAAAGGGGATGTGGCTAAAGAATATACAGTGTGGCCCTCTGTGACCTGGGGGTGTGGTGTGTGAAATGTGAGAAAAGAGTGGCAAGCTGGGCTTTAAGAGGGCAGTGCTGATGCTGGCAGTGGAGTGTGGTTCTGCCCTGTCTTCCTGGGGTAGATGGGTAGTCAAGACACCACCTCCTTTTTGTATTTTTTAGACTCATTCACTTAAAGGGTAGAAATCCAGCTCAGACTATTGTAAAGAAACATGTAAACAAACCAAAGGGAGCTGGATTCATGGGCTCAGGTAACTGAAGGGTCCATGCCCAGCTGGATCCAGGTACCCATGTGATCCCTCAGTCCACACTGGCTTCATTCTCAGAGCCTGCTCCCCTGAGGTGCCCACGGTGCTCCAACAGCCCCCGTTCACATTTTGTTTGTTCAGCATCCTGGCAGAATGCATTTCTTTTCTAGGGCTTCTGGTCTCAGAGCTGAGAGTCTTCCCAGCCCTCTTGGATCACATTCCCTTCCCTCAACCAGGGTGATGCATCTAGAGAGGTGGTATAGATGCTGGGCTGGAAGAAGGGTCAGATGCCCTGTCTGCCCTCTTCTCCAAGTCCCACCTGCGTTGGATGGTTGGTCTGGCTCCAGCCTGGTCATGTGGTGGAATCCACTTCGAGCTGGAGTCCTGAGCCAGAAATCCCTGAGGTTCCCTGGCAGCCCCTGGCAGCCTCTGAGTTGATGAGGAGCATTAACATGGGGACAATGTTTTATGGCTCAAAGCCTTCTCACATGTGGCATCTCACTCAAGATAATAAAGAGCCCTCCAGTGTGGTGATGAGGAGCACAGACTTCAGATCTATTACTGCTGTGTCACCTGGCAAATTACTACCTCAGCTTCCTCAGCTATATGACAGGGCATTAATAGGGCCCACTGCACAGCATGGTGGTAAGGATTAAATGATGAAATAAAGTACTTACCTATAGTAAGTGCCCAGTCATCTTCAATTCACAGCAACCTACAAGGCCAGTGCTATGACCACCATTTTATAGATGAGGAAATGAAGACTTTGAGAGATGAACTGGCCAGTTCCAAGTTATACAGTTTACAATTGACAGGATCTGTAACAGAAGCTGAGTCTTTCACTCTGGAGTTCAGGGCTGCCTTCTGGGCCTCTAGGAGGCATGTAGGATACAGGAAGCAGATACAAGTTCTGCTCCTGTGTTCTGACTCACTACCACTGTTTCTCTGCAGCCCTCCAGGGGACCCCTCTCTCAGCCACCCTTTCCTTGGTGATATCCCAGTGCTGCCAGAAGATCAAAGATACTGTGCAGAAACTGGCTTTGGACCACAAGGACATTCACAGTAGTGTCTCCCGAGTGGGCAAAGCCATTGACAGGGTGAGCATGTGGGTGCCCTGAACTGGGGATGGGGATACCTGGAGTTGGTGTGTCCTAGGGCTCATCAGGAAAGCAAGTGTGGGGAGTTGTGAGTGGCGAGTCACAGGGCCCTGTCTCTCATCCTCGTCAGAACTTTGACTCTGAGATTTGCGGTGTAGTCTCCGATGCGGTGTGGGACTCTTGGGAGAAGCAGCAGCATATCCTACAGATGGCCATTGTGGAGCATCTGTACCAGAGGGGCATGCTCAGTGTGGCCGAGGAGCTGTGCCAGGTAACGGCCCGGCGGGGAGGTGCTGGGACCTGCCTGTTTTGCTTTCTACTCAATAGTTTTCTTTATATTACCTTCCTATTATTATTGAAATAAATTTTAGAAAGGAAATCAGACCTCCTGCCATAAATAGAAGATAGCTCTAAAAATAGATATGGTGAGCCCTGGCTGGGTAGCTCAGTTGGTTAGAGCATTGTCCCGATACACCAAGGTTTCAGGTTTGATCCCGTCAGGGCACATACAAGAATTCACCAATGAATGCATAATTTATTTTTTTATTATTATTTTTTTTATCCTCACCCGAGGATATTTTTCCATTTTTTGTACAGATAGAGTGGGAGGGAGAGAGAGGAAGGGGAGAGAGAGAGAAACATCGACGTGAAGGGACACATCGAGTGGCTGCCACCCGCACGACCAACCAGGGCCGGGGACAAACTGCAACCGAAGTACGTGCCCTTAGCGGGAACCGAACCCGGGTCTCTCCAGACCGCAGGCCGACGCTCCAACCGCTGAGCCAAACTGGCCAGGGCGCATAATTTATTTTTAAATAATTATTTATTTTAATTTTTTTAGAGAGAAAGGAAGGGAGAGAGAGATAGAAATATCAATGTGAGAGAGATACATCGATTGGCTGCCTCCTGCACGCCTCCTTCTGGGGATTGAGCTCGCAACCCTGGGCATGTGCTCTGACCAGGAATCAAACCAGGACCTCTCAGTCCATGGGACAACGCTCAATCCACTGAGCCACATTGGCTTGACAATGCATAATTAAGTGGAACAACAAATTGATGTTTCTCTCTCTCTCTTCAAAATTAATCAATAAGTAAAAAACTAAAAATAGTTGCAGTGAAAAGTGAAGTCATTCATTTCTAGCTAGGGTTGGTTGCCAGGCAGGGTTCTGAGTCAAGGCCTGATATACCTTTCTTTAAAAGGGAGATTAGTAAAATGACAGAGTAGCACCATTAGTAAAATGCACACTGGCAGTAAAGTATCCTTTCTCTTAAAGTAAGTAAGAGGATTGAAAAGGAATACTTTCTCACCATGCTACTCAATACAGGGATTGGGTGGGGGACTGTCTCCAGTACCCTTTGTGAGGTTGTGTTATGCCCCGTGGGAGGCCAGTGTGTGGCACTCATCCTCCCACAGCTGAAGTGGGAATAAGAGGGGCAGGTGGCTGGCAGGAGACCACAGCTCCTCATGTAGACCTTGGTTCTCTCCAGCCTATCTTTGGCAGATGAGATTTTATTACAGCAGAGGATTTTGGAAACTGTCCTCCAGTGGTAGGATCATGTTCTTCCCACAGGAATCTACCCTGAATGTGGACTTGGATTTCAAGCAGCCCTTCCTGGAGTTGAATCAAATCCTGGAAGCTCTGCACAAACATGACCTGGGCCCTGCATTGGAGTAAGTGGGCCCCGTGGTGGGCCAGCAAGGGACAGGGTTTGTCTGTGGTTTTCATTTCACCCAGTGTACTTGACATACCTCCAACTCTGTGCTGTGGCCTCACATAGGCTTTTGGATCCTACCTCTCTGTCCCAGCTCCATACTCAACTGGCCCCTTTTTTCCTAGATGGGCCATCTCCCACAGGCAGCGTCTGCTTGAGCTCAACAGCTCCTTGGAGTTCAAGCTGCACCGACTGCACTTTATTCACCTTCTGGCTGGTGGCCTCAACAAGCAGCTGGAGGCCCTCAGCTATGCCAGGCACTTCCAGCCCTTTGCTCAGCTGCACCAGCGGGGTAAGTGCCCAGGGTGGATGCTGCTGGACTCTGGCAGATGTTCGCATATTACCAGGGTGCTGCTCCCCAGCCTGAGAACTCTGATCCCTCCTTCATTGTCTCCAAGGTGAACTCCAAAATCAAGGCTCTTCCTCCACTGTCTCTGTCACACTTATCTAGCTTCATCTCAGAACCACATCTGGTCCCTGACACCGGCTGTGTGCCATACCCACACTCAGAGCATACGTGTGCCATGACATGCCTGTCCTCATGCTGCTCTACTTCAGCACCTCTGCAGTTTCCTTCCTGTGCCCTCTTCTTCCACTCACGGATTTCCAAACCACAGTCGTTTGTTTCACCTCCCAGATGTTCACCATTAGTAACCACCCTACTGCTAGTAACTTAGTTCCTTTCATATTTATTACTTCACATTTTATTGAGAGATAAACATGATGAAAACCAAGCAGTGTTATTAAATTTTAGCTAGATACCTCCAGAAAGTTTTTAAAAAAGGGATATTAGCTAGTGTTCTAAAGTAGACATAAGTGCCATCTCGAGATTCGAGATTTTGTTCCCTGATGCAGTTGAAGGATGAGAATTAGGAACCTTCCTTCCTGAGGTGCAGGGTGGTGACTGTCCTTGTCCCACATAAACAGCTCCACTGGATTTTAGGGGAAACAAGTTTTGCCTGAGGACATTTCAGTCCCTGCTTGGCCAGGCCTGGTGCTCCAGTCTTGGTGCTCAGCCTGCTCCCCATCCTGCTCCCCAGCCCTACTGTCCCTGGGGCTGGGTGCCAAGCCCTGAGAAGAGGCAGTCTCCTGAGCCCCTGCATGTGCTGAGCTGCCCCTGGTTGCCTTGTAGAGATCCAGGTGATGATGGGCAGTCTGGTGTACCTGCGGCTAGGCTTGGAGAAGTCGCCCTACTGCCACCTCCTGGACAACAGCCACTGGGCCGAGATCTGTGAGACCTTTACCCGCGATGCTTGTTCCCTGCTGGGGCTTTCTGTGGAGTCGCCCCTCAGTGTCAGGTATAGCCAGCCCTGTGAATGGGGCAACGTGAGTGGTTGGATTTCAAGGGAAACAATTTGCCAAGGCCGTGCCATGTGCCAGGGACAGACCTAAACTGGCTCTCTAAGTCCTTCTTGCAGGTGGAATTACCTGTCTTCACAGTTGGAGAAATTGAAATTAGGAAGAGTTACGGCCCAAGGTCACCATGAGGTTAGTGGCAGGGTCAAGGTTCCTATATTGTAAGGTCTCTTGAATGAGGTCCCCATCTTGCTTGCGCCTCACTGCTGGGTTATCACAAGACTTTCTGCACCTGGCCTTCTCTCAGCCTCATCTGTCAAACACCACTTCCTCCCCAGTAGATTTGAGTGGCTGAGTTATAGGTTTCAAGAGTTTGCACTCAGAAGGCTCCTGTACAGTAACACTCTTCTCATGACTCCAGTGACCTAGGAATTAGAGGTACTATTATCCTCACTTCACAGAATAGAAAACAGGCTTAAGACATGAATGAACTTAAAGGACACATGGACCTGACTCTAGAGCCACTCACCACAGCGGACAGTGTCACTGTACATTTACTTAGACTGACTGTGGAATCTGATGCTCCACATCATGCGGTAGACTTCAGTTATAAGACAGTATTTCCCGGCAGGACACCATCTGCACCTGACAGGATGACTGCCCTCTGCATCGTAGGTATTTAGCACCCAAGGCTCCAGCCAGTTGGCTCCCACTCCATCCCAGGTCATGGTCTGAATCTGTCTCCCATTTTCAAGTGCCCCAGTTGATAACCAGTTATAGAGGTGCATTATGACAGCAGAGTGGGGTAGACAGGCAAACTGGGACCTTTCAAACTAATCACTGACCCCATTACACCAAGGACTTTTCCATGGTTTAGATGAGAAGATACCTGCCCCCTAGATCTTCCTTTTGTCTTTCTTGTAGGTTCTCAAGTTTTGGGGTGCATTAGAATGATTCGAGTTGGACACATGTAACTACATATGTGGCACTTTATGAGTAACCTGAGAGATTCTCAAGGACCGATTTGACCATGTGCCACTTCAGAACCCTGACCTGAGTTCCATGCTGATGACAAGTGTGCTGGTCCTTTGGTCTGTCTACTGGGGTCTTAGTCTGGCCACTCTAGCCCCTACTCTTTGTTCTGCAGCTTTGCCTCTGGCTGTGTGGCGCTGCCCGTGCTGATGAACATCAAAGCTGTGATTGAGCAGAGGCAGTGCACAGGGGTCTGGAGTCACAAGGATGAGTTACCGGTGAGCCTTGGCTGAGGGGGTGTGGGCAGAAGGCACTGGGGACAGCCACAGCAGGAAGTGGGACTCACCCCTTGGCTGGCCTCCCCAGATTGAGATCGAACTAGGCATGAAGTGCTGGTACCACTCGGTGTTTGCCTGCCCCATCCTTCGCCAGCAGACGTCAGATTCCAACCCTCCCATCAAGCTCATTTGTGGTCATGTTATCTCCCGAGATGCACTCAATAAGCTCATTAATGGAGGAAAGTAAGTTCCCTGTGCTATGTTCCTTCTTGGCTTGGCTCTCCTGGTTGCTAGCCTCTCAGATGTTCTTGGTTCTCCATTTGCAGGCTGAAGTGTCCCTACTGTCCCATGGAGCAGAACCCAGCAGATGGGAAACGCATCATATTCTGACTGCTCCCTGGAAGGATCTTTGTTTAAAGAAGTTTTTGACCCATGAGCCTTGCTGTCTCACAGGGGGTGGTTGGATTCAGTGCATTGCAGTTCATTTCAGAGCAACTGCCTGAGTGCCACCACAGCAGGGACCAAGGAGGAAGATGAACCAACCTGCACTGGGCAGCTGGCTCCTTGACTGTAAGGGTGGGGAGATGCTGACCTCTGTGTTCCTGCTGTCTCCCTTTGTATTTGCCATTGACTTGGTAGCAACTGACAGAGGAACAGGACTTGGGTGGTGGCAGTAAGTCTTCCATCCCTGCCCTCAGCCAGGTCTTACTGCCACATCAAAGCCCTGTCCACTCCTCCAGGTGTACAGCCTCACAACTGTATGTAACCCACTGTAAATACTCTGGGTAAGAACTGAATGCCATTGTTTTAGCAAATACATTCACAGGCCTGCCTTTAGCTTCACCAACAAAGAATTACATGTCTACTACACACAGGTACTAGCATGGTCTGGCTGTTGCTGCTGGTGGAACCATGGCAGCCACAGTGCTGTCAGGAAGAACCCAATCCCATCTCTGATTGGTGAAAAATCTGGGAGATGTCAGTCCTTGGGGACTGTGGCTTTACAAATCCACACATAAAACCTCATTACCTCCATGTCAGAACCCATGCAGGGTGATTTGGGAAGATGAAATGACTTGTACAACAGGGCTCATAGCTTGTCAAGAGCTTGGCATTTAAACCAGATGAAGCCCAAGCTCTTCCCAGTTTATTTCAGGGCACCTGAAGCCTGGGTGCTATGTGTACTGGGTCCTATGCTGGGCCTTGAGAGCAGGAAGGTATCTTAAGTCTAAAATGTTTGAAGGGACTGGGTTACCAGGACCATTATGCCAAGCAGGAGAGATGGCCTGGGGTTTTGTATTTAGCTTCATATTCCTATTTAAAATGTCCTGTGTGGCACGTAAGGCTCATGCAGAAAGAAGGATGGAGGTGTCCCCGTCAGAGAAGCTGCAGGCTTCCTCAGCTTCCCTACTCTGGAAGTGGGAGGTGAAAGCTCAGGTGGGTAGCAAAGTCTGTTCTCAACTTGAGTCTAGCACCAGCCCTAGCACTGAACATTCTTCAAGTCCTTCAGGTCCTCGGTGAGAAAGGCTGCTTCACTCTTTCCTGCCCACCTTGGCCCTACCAGCAACTGCTGCTTTCAAAACACCCACAGCCCTGGCAGGTTTGGTCGAAAGTGTCACAGGTTCAATGTCCAGTCAAGGGTACACACTTGGGTTGCAGGTTCAATTCCAATGTGTGGGAGACAATCAATTGACGTGTCTCTCTCACATTGATGTTTCTTTCTCCCTCTCTCCCTCCCTCCCTTCCACTCTATCTAAAAATCAATGGAAAAATAGCCTTGGGTGAACAGTAACAAAAAACAACACCTAGCACATTTTAGTCTTAGCATTTACTTCCCTCACACCTCATTCTTGGAACTGAGTGCCAGGAAACAAGAAACAACACCGATGGAGAAGATGCTGTTGGAGCTGCCTGGGAAAAATACACGCCTCAGGAAACTGGGAGATGCTACGAGTATGAGCAGCAGGAGGGCAGCCAGCTGGCTCCCTGCCAGCCCAACAGCTTCTGGAGCAAGTACCCAGGTTGCTGCCCCCAAGTCCTTCACATGGGTGGGGGCAGGGCTTGCACCTCTTCCAGGCACTCGTCATAGGCCTCCTGGTACTCCTCGTGGGGCTTGACCATTATCACGCAGGTGGGGCGCTTGGACCCTGCGGCTGCACCCAGGTCCTGCAGAGGAAAAAGAAGAGCTATTTGGAAAAAAGGGTGTACAACTTGTATGCCAAGGAGTTGCAAACTGATGATCCACCAGCTTAATCTGGCTCACGGATGTGCTATTCAGTCAACAGTATATTTAAAAACAATTCAAATTGGTTGCCATCATTTAAACTCAGCAAATTTTCAAGTAATCCAGCAACACTGTGCTTACATTCCCACATGGCAACTGTGAAAGAGCTCCAGCCCAGCAGGGGCTGTCCCCTTAGGCAGGGCCTATGCTCTCCAGGTTCCTGTCATCCCCCACTCCCTGTGCCCTAGATCTGGCTCCTGCTATGTAAGGATAAGGAGCCAGATCCCTGAAACACCCCCTCTGAGTACTGTACCCACATAACAGGACTAATGTGGGTACAGCATGTTAGTTGACAGAACATGTCCACATATACCTTCTCTTTAATTTTCACAGAGGAGGGGATTCCCATTTTACAAGAAAAATATATAAGTTCTGAGAGGTAACTTACTAGCAGTTCCCCTATCTAGGAAGCAGCAGACCAAGAATCCATCTGGGCCTGTCTTAACTCCAAAGTTCACACTCTTTTCATGAGGGCCTGCTGTCGCAGCCCCCTTTCCAGACCCTCTCCTCTAGTGCTGACCAAGACCAAGGCTCAGGTACTCCTTACCGTCTTGGAGGGGATATAGACATAGGGCAAATTCCGGTCCTCACACATAACTGGGAGATGGCAGTATACCTCAATGGGCAACGTGTCTCCTGCCAAAACCATGATCCTGAAATGACAGAAACAGCCATTTCTAGCTCGCTCATTCCCTCTCTTCGTTGAAAGTCCACCTCTGGTCTGGGCCTTTGGACAGACACAGATAAAATGGCTCCTACCCTGAAGAAGCCCAGCTATTAATGCGGATCGCCCAACCTCTGAAAGTGTGCAAATCTGTTTGGTGACTGTGTTCCTCTGGGGAAGTGATCACTATTTCTTGGCAACAAATGCCACCAAGTGTGACAAGTGGCACTGTACTAGGACAGATGAGGTAAAGGAGGGACCCTAAGCAGTAAGAGCTTAGCTCTCTTTGGAGAGTCAAAAAGAGTTGGGCCCTGGCTGGTTTGGCTCAGCAGTTAGAGCGTCAGCCCGTGGACCAGAGGGGCCCAGGTTCAGTTTCTGCTAAGGGCACGTACCTCGGCTGCAGTTTGTCCCCAGCCCTGGTTGGGGTTGTGTGGGTGGCAACCACTAGATGGGTCGGTCTCACATCGATGTTTCTCTCTTTCTTCCTTCCTCTCTCCCTCCTGCTCTATCTGAAGATAAACGCAAAAAAAAAAAAAAAGTCTGGAGGCCACACTTGAACAGAAAGCTGAATGATGAGTGTCAGGGAGCCCACGGAAGGGCAGGGGTGGAAAAAGCATTAAAGGAGAATAAAAATGGGACCAGATATACAGAGGCTGGCTGATGGCAGCCTGGGATAGCTTTGGAATCTAGGATGAGGACAGGGGCAGACAAGAAGGCTAGAGACTGACAAGGGCTACAACCAAGGGCCTTGAGTGCCAGGCTAAGAATGGACTCAATCCCAAAAGTGACATGGAACCAGTCAATGACAGTTTGCCAGAGAATCCTAGCTAGGGCTCCTAGCTGGCAAAGTGCCAGGGCTCTGGCAAAGGCCTTGGGAGCCCTGAAGATACAGAAGGAAGAGTTTGTTCTCCAGATCAGACTCTTGGAAAGAGCTCTTGGTTCTAAGTACTGGGGTCCACACACACTTAGTTTTCCTTTTGCCTCCTGGACTTGCTTCCTCTGCAGGCTCCTCTTTGAATAGCTTTATTTTGGTTAATCCTCACCAGAGGATATTCTTTCCATTGATTTTTAGAAAGAGTGGAAGGTGAAACAGGGAGGGGGAGAGAGAGAGGACAGAAGAAACATAGGATGTAAGAGAGAGACATTGGTTGCCTCCTACACATGACCTGATGGGGGTTGGGAATCAAACCTACAACCCAGGTACAGGCTCCTGACTGGCAATCAAACTCACGACCCTTCAATGTGCAGCCGATACTCTATCCATTAAGCCATACCAGCCAGGGCTAAATAGTTTTAAATGCTGGTGCTCCTCCCAGCCTGGTCCTTGGCTACTCACTACCTTCTTGCTGACCCCATCCATGGCCACATCAAGTCCCACTTATGTGCTGACAACTCCCAGACCTATTCTCTCCAGCCTGGCCCTCTCTCTTCTAAGCTTGTAGCCCATATGTCCATCTCCCTATTTGAGAGTTCTGGTGGGAAGGGGGGTTGCAAGTCTAAAAGCTCAAAAACTTGTCTAAAATCACATTCCTGATCTTCCCACATAAACTCTGCCGCTTCACTGTTCGCTATCTCAGTGAGTGGGCCCTTTGTCCGTTCAGCTGGAATCCACACCTCTCACTCCATGTCCAAAAGTCCTCTCAGATATAACCTTTTAATTCAATCTCCAACCAAATCAAAATCACCCTCATCTCTTCTAGACTACAGCTGCCTATTTCAGTGTTTCCATCTACTCTTGACCTTCTGGTCCTTTCCAAAGTTGATGCTCCCTGGCTTTAATCCTCAATGTCCTCCCAAAGCTCTAAGTAGAAAACTAACCATACCATCTTACAAAGCCCCATGAGAAGATAGCACTTTGGCCCACCACTACCCTCTCCGGCTCTGGGACCTACTTTCTTCTCCCCTCCAAACCAATTCCTGTATCTTCAGATCTCAGCTACCCCAAGCTAGGTCAGATTCCCCATTGGGCATCAAATCTCAGCAATATATCTCTTGAGAACCTACAGGGTACCAGACACTTCTGAGAATAAAGTAGAGAGAGGCTTTGTCCTATTCTCATAGAGCTTACTGTCTGGTCTAAGTGGGAGATATAAGGAATAAAAATGCAAATGAGTTTCTGATAAATGTCAGAAAAGATTTAGGGTAATGGAAGTCTCTCACTGCATCCTATACTTTTCCTTCATAGTTAGCTATCACAACCTTCAATTTTGTGACTATTTGATTAAAGTAATTGTTTCCCCATAGTACAGTGCCTAAAAAAGAGTAGACGCAAATAGTTATTGAATGAAAGAAGCTGGGGCCTACCCTAACTCATCTGGCTTATTAGATTTGCTTCCCCTGGAACTCATTTTCCCCCATGATGTCCCTTTGCCCTAGGGTAAGTGAAGTGGTGTATGGCTTAGCTGCTGTATTGAGGGTAATTTACTGACTGCTTGATTATCTTCTCACAGAGTCAGAGTACTCTTACAAGCACCTACTAAATAGTTGGGATACCTTCATTACCATTTAATAGTTTTAAAATGCAAAATCCAACGAGAGGGGGTTCTTACCCTTTCTCGCCTTTGTTGACAAACTTTTGAACCTCTTTCACCCCGCGCCAAATCTGCTTCTGCTTCACGGCTGCAATAACGTTAAGAGTCAGTCGGGGGAGCCTCCTACCGCCACCCGCGCCCCCACGGGCCAAGCGGCCAACGCACCTTTCTTGATACATTTGTAGAGCTTCCGAGTGAGACGGCGAGAAGCCAAAGGCTGTGCGATGGGGTTGAGATTCACCAGCAGCTCGTGGTAAGTGCGCTCTCCCGAGCACGCCTCCGCCTGAGCCTCCCGCCCGTCGGGATCTCCCTTTATTTTGGTCATCGCAGCGGCAGGCGTGCGATCTCCAACTACACGCGGTCCGCGAGGCAGGAATCACTTCCGGATCACAACGCCGGCGAGCCCACCAACACGACAGCCAATTAGGAAACGAGGCCTCAGACCAATCGTTGGCGCTCAGCTTCTTAAATACAAAGCTGGGGCCTGGTCGGTTTGGCTCAGCGGTAGGGCGTCGGGGGCGTACCACTGAGTCTGGGGTTCTATCCCGCACCGCGGTAGCGTTCTGGCCCTGGTTGGGGTCCGGGGTCTTGCGGGAGCAACTGGCGACGTGTCTCTCACGTCGATGTATCTCTCTTCCTCCCTCCCACTCTATTTGAAGGTGAATAGAAAAATATTCTAGGGTGAGGATTAAAAAAAACAAAACAAATACAAAGCTGGGTAATAAAGTCTTCGCTGCAGGGGCAGGGCCACGCCTCCACTAAGTGGCGGGGCAGAGCGGATTAGGGGCGGGTTCGGGCCGCCCACCCTGGCCCTGAGGGAACCGAGGCTAGGCGCCGCCGGGGGGAGGCGGGCCGGGGGGGAGGGCAGGGAACCGGTTTAGGCTGTGAGATTTCCGCGAGAGGATTTACTGGGAGCGGGAGGAGGAGATGGTACCTGGGGCTTCTCATCTAAGGGGACGGAATCCTTGCAAAAAACCTCCGGGTATGCGACTCCGGAGCCAGAATGCGAATCCAGTCGCCTCAGAACCTGCCCCTCAGGTGGACAGTGCGCAGCCTGCATAGGTTCGGAAACAGCTGGACGGTCCTGGGTGCCCCAGGTGCCACCGTTCAGGTAAAGCCGACGCTAACGGTTTCCTTCATTCTCGCACCATTTCTCACACTCTGCCAACCCTTTCCTGGCAAGCGGAGCTCCTGGGCCTGGACCGCTTTTCTCCAGACAGCTGCAGCTCTCTCGCTCTTCCCGCAGGGATCTGCTCAAGTGTTACCTACGGGAGGGGGTCCCCAGATGACCACCTTATCTAAAATTATAGGCCCCCCCTCAAACACCACCTCTCCCTAACCCTTGTTCCTTGTTCCCAAAAGGGTTAGTAATGTTTTAAAGAGTAAAGGTAAAAGTTGGCAAAAGGCAGAGACTGTGGAATTTGTGTTGCTTGCATGACCTTTGCTCAGCCTTTTGTTGAGTAGTATGGATAAGGTTTATCTGAATTATCCACAAGGCAATGGATAACCTAGCAGATGCCAGACCAATCCAACTGCAAAGTGGACAATGGGCCATGAAGAGTATGTCAGCAGTAACTGCTGGAAGCTCAAATTAGGGTATATAACCAACCCTAATTCGGGGCTGATCCCTTCTTAGCCCAGCCGGCCTGCACCCAGGTGTATGCAATAAAGCCATTTTTCTCTACATTGATCTTGTGTTGTGGATGTGACCTCCCGCCCTCTTGGACCTTTTTTAAAAAATTTTTTTTTTCTTTATTGATTTTAGAGAGCGAGGAAGGGAGAGGGAGAGAGAGATAGAAACATCAATTGGCCACCTCCTGTATGTCCCCCACTGGGGATTTGACCCACAGCCGGGGTATGTGCCCTGACCGGGAATCGAACCAGTGACCTCTTGGTGCATGGGTCAACGCTCAACAACTGTGCCACATGGGCCGGACTGGCTTAGACCTTTTAGTTCCCACTGCCACCTGGCATCATGCACAGAGGACACCATGGAGACCGCTGAGTGAGGAGGAAACCTGCATGGACACTGTGGGAACCGCACTTCGGGGCGGGATGGGGACAGCTTTTTTTTTTTTTTCTTTTTTATCCTCACCTGAGGACATTTTTCCATATTTTGTTCAGATAGAGTGGGAGAGAGAGAGAGAGAAACATAGACGTGAAAGGGACACATTGAGTGGCTGCCACCCGCACAACCCAACCAGGGCCAGGGACAAACTGCAACTGAGGTATGTGCCCTTAGCAGGAACCGAACCCGGTCTCTCTGGACCGAAGGCCAACGCTCTAACCGCTGAGCCAAACCGGCCAGGGCGGGGACAGCTCTTAATCTGCCATCAGTTATTTTAGATTAGTAGACAGTGAAACCAGGGAGGCAAACAGGCCTAGACTGGGGTGAATCTTAATGTCTCTGACTTATTTCTCCCACAGTCTCTTAGAGCACTGTATAGAAATGAATTAGAGCCCTGGCCGGTTTGGCTCAGCGGTTAGAGCGCCGGCCTGCGGTCCGGAGAGACCCGGGTTCGGTTCCCGCTAAGGGCATGTACCTCGGTTGCAGTTTGTCCCCGGCCCTGGTTGGTCGTGCGGGTGGCAGCCACTCGATGTGTTCCTTTCACGTCGATGTTTCTCTCTCTCTCTCTCTCTCAACCCCTCTCTCTCCCTCCCGCTCTGTCTGAACAAAAAAATGGAAAAATGTCCTCAGGTGAGGATAAAAAAAAAAAAAAGAAATGAATTAGATAATTGCTACAAATTAGTTGCCTTTCAGTATGGGGTGGATGGCCTTCCATTTTTGTGGTGGTGGAAGAGTCCTGTTTGTGGAACTTCAGAAATCTGCAGGTAGCCCTGAGATCACAGGTCAATTAAGCCAACTTAAACATTGACTTTTTGAAATCTTACCTTTTACAACAGCATGGATGGACCTAGAGGTTATTATGCTAAGTGAAATAAGCCAGTCAGAGAAAGACAAATACTATATTATCTCACCTATATGTGGAATCTAATGAACAAAATAAACTGACAAAATAAAAACAAAGCCCTGGCCGGTTTGGCTCAGCGGTTGGAGCATCAGCCTGTGGACCAGAGAGTTCGGGTTCGGTTCCCGCTAGGGGCACGTAACAAAAAAAAAACAAAAACAGAGGCATGGTTACATGGAACAGACTAACAGCTGTCAGAGGGGTAGGGGTTTGGGGACTGGATGAAAGAAGGTGAAGGAATTAGCCAAAAAACATATATGCATGGCCCATGATACAGACAACAGTGTGGTGATAGCCAGAGGGAAAGGGGGGTAGGGTAGGTAGAGGTAGGCAAAGTGGGGGAAATGGGGATAGAAAGAGACTTTGCTTGGGGCAGTGGGCACATGATACAGAGTGCAGATGAGGTTTTATTGAATTTTACACTTGAAACCTGTATGGTTTTGCAAACCAATGTAACTCCAATAAATTAAATAAAAAAACAAAAACAAAAAAAATTGACATTTTTGTCTGGCTGGTATGGCTCACTGGTTAAGCATCAACCCATGCACCAAGAGGTTGCCGGTTCGATTCCCGGTCAGGACACATGCCCAGGTTGTGGGCCAAAACCCAGTGGGGGCATGCCAGAGGCAGCCAATCAATGTTCTGTCTCATTGATGTTTCTCTCTCTCTCTCTCTCTCTCTCTCTCTCTCTCTCTCACTTCCTCTCTGTAAAATCAATAAAGGAAAAAAAAATTTGACATTTTAACCCTGCAACCAGTCATTAAATAAAAATAAATAAGTTTTTTAAATTTGTATTTTAATAAGAAAAAGTAGGATGCAATTCATCTTAACCTCAGACCCCAACAAATTTTATAAATAGGAAAATATACCAATTGAACACTGAAAATATATTTTATAAGCAATAAAGAATACTTTGAAAGTAAATACAGTTTGTATGTACCATGTAACCAAAAATTTACCTTTTAAAAATGTTTTTCCGCCCTGGCTGGTTTGACTCAGCAGTTAGAACGCCGGCCCGCGATCCAGAGAGACCCGGGTTCGGTTCCCCCTAAGGGTGCGTACCTCGGTTGCAGTTTGTCCCTGGCCCTGGTTGGGTCGTGCGGGGGGCAGCCACTCGATGTGTCCCTTTCACGTCGATGTTTCTCTCTCTCCCTCCCTCTCCCTCTATCTGAACAAAATATCGAAAAATGTCCTGGGGTGAGGATTAAAAAAAAAAAATGTTTTTCCTTTGGAATTTCTTGAGAAAAGACAGCACTTCCTGCCATTTAGGACCAGCTTTAGGACTGGTGGTTATTGTCAGTTTTGCCTGACTGCTCAGTCTAGGCCCTCTCCTCCTTCTTCCTCCTCCTAAGTCCTGTGGTGGCAGTCCTGGCCCTCCAGGGAAGCCAAGTGCCTCTGAGCACACAGCTGGTAGGGCTCTGCTGTGGGGTGCTTTTCTATTCCTCTTTCTGAGTGGTGTTCTTGTGAACACTTTCAGTATTATAGGACCGATGACAATGTGTCAGGGTTGCAAAAGGGAGAGGTACTTCCCAATGTGTGCATGTGGTAGGAGGAAATCTGTCCAGCAGAGAATTTCTTCCTAGGGAAACCCAACTCAGTTAAATGTGTGTGACTGGCCTTAGTTTTAAAGGCCTCTCAGTTCTTATGTAGAAGGAGGAAGGAATAACATTTATGTACCAAGCACATTACATGTGATATCTTATCCAGTGCTCACAAAGAATACCCTCATTATTTCCTGAAGCTTACAAAGGTGAATAGCTCTATCCACTTCCCACAAAGCTGGATTTGAACACAGTTCTGCTAATCTCCAAGCCTGTGCTGTTTATACCCTGTGACTTGATGTCCGACGTTAGCTCAAAGGTCATGAAACATGGCTGGATAATGAAAGTGTAGAAACCTTGGCCTGGCCAGGTCACAAGTGTCAGTTTTTTGAGACAATGAAGTGCCAAGAACAAATGTGTTCATGGTAAACCACACTATGTATTTCTAATACCAGTCTCGTAAATCTATGCCAGATCTAAGGTGGTTTACGTGACTTTACTGATTTTGTTCAAATGGCCTCTGGAGCTCACTTGAAGCATTGTAGAGTGGGCAAGAACATAATGGTCAATGAACAGAAGACCAGAATCTAAATGACAAATGGCTTTGGGCAAATCCTTTAACCTCTCTGGGCTTCAGTGTCTAGTCTATAAAGTGAGACAATTAGACCTAGATAAAGTCCTATCTTTTTAAAAAGTGGGGAAGATAAAAAATAACATAAATAAATAAAAATTGGGGAGGATGATTTTAAGTTGATGAGATATAATTCACATATCATATAATTTGCCAATTTAAAGTGTACAATTCGACTAATGACCTCCTGCCCATGCACTGATCAATAATCAGTAGAAACCATGACCCTGAAAGTACACACC